TCATAGCATATATACATATAACTATTTTAAATTATTAATAAAGATATAAGCAAGGCCTCACCTTAATACCAAAAAAAAAAAAAAAAATTGTTTTTAATATCTATGTTTTTACAACTAAATTAAACCAGTAAGTTATTATAATGTAAATAAATTAAAAACTTCTAAATATAATACCAAAAATTTTAAAATGATCTTGAGCTAACTAACAGCAATTCTAAATTTTCTATGCAAAGTAAATACCTATTTTAACATCTCATTTACTTTGACCAAAAGAGTTTACCATTCGGAATTATTTAGGATTATTGTCTTGAACTATGTATTCGAAACTTATTAGGCTCTAATAACTATCAAAAAAAATTTTTTTTTTTGAATGCACGATTTTTGAGGGGTAAAAAGCACGTGAGAGCCAATCAAATTCAAGAATTGACTTGTAGATCATTCTAGAATACGATTTCCTAATTTGGTATATTCCCGGACTGTATTATAATTACATAAGTTTGATATAAAAATTTGAAATCCCAATTCTCAAACCTAAATTATGTAATTCAGATTACAAATTTGGGTAAATTACTAATTATTATATGCTAATCTAATAAATTTAATTATTTTAATTTGATAAATTATTTTAATTTGATACTAATTGTTAAAATTGGGACATATATTTAGGTTTGGGGTTTATATCGAAATTCCAAATCCCAAACCAAAACTATGTAGTAATGTTGTAATTTAAATAACTGATTTTGGTAAAATTACTAAGAATTATTCTTTACTCTTAATAAATATCATTGATTATTGAGTTTAACATTATATATTAACAATGGGACATATATTTGGGTTTTGGTTTTGAGCCAAAATATGTAAAAAATCCCAATGTTCAAACCCAAACTATGTAGTAATGTCAAAGTCTAAAAAAAAGGTTTGGGTAGAATCACTAGTCGACTTAGTTCAGCCGGTTAAATGATTCTAGGCTACGTAAGTATATAATATATACAAGATAAAGTATGAAAAAATGTTTTGTCACTTTGGCGTAGGCAAGAATAAGAAAGAGGGACAAATAAGAACAAGTACCAGTTTCTCTTGTTAAGTCCCTATTGTCGATACTAGTATTTTTTTTGAGTTCACTTCACTCGTCAGAGTCGTCATTTTGTCGTTGGATACTTTAGATGAGACAAACTTGGACACTCTGATCTTGAATGATTTACCAATTTAGGGTAAGCCTTTATTTATTCCTGTTCATTTTATTCACTTGTCTTTAATAAATTATTTTCTTGACATGGTCATCGACGGTTATATCCATCGGACATCGTACCGTATCCTGGATCAGCTTCACTTTGAGGATGTTACATAACGATTTTTTTTTTTTTTTTATGCTTAAGTAACATTATGCAATGACCCTTTTTTATTTATGTAAAATGAAACAACATAATTTATTAATTGGCAGATTCAATTCGTTAAGACAATAACTGAATAAGCCGGCTTAACCGTTTTAAAATTATCGACATTGGTGAGCTTGGAAGTGTTAAAAATCGACTATAATCACCAAAGGCACGTAGAATGCGTGGGGTGCATCATTTAACTTTTCCCCTTGCAGCTCTTAACCTCTCTCCTCTTTCTCGTCGCCTTCGAGCAGTCTCTTCTTTTAAACGTTCAATCTATAAAATATATGATATGTTAAAAAACCATCCTGCAATAAACAATGATTTAATTACCATAAACTTTCACCTTTGCTTGCTTTGACTCTTCCGTAAAGACATTTTTTCTTGTCTGCTTTGCAGCTTTCTCACCTTCCTCTAAATCTATTAAAATAAGAAAGTTAGAAATAGTGACGGTTACAAAAAATAATTAAATAAAAACCAAGTTACCTTCTTTCATAAGCCTTCGCTTAGTATCCAAAGCTTCCGTTCTCTTTTTAGCTGCAATGCGGGCTTTATATGTATTATCATATTCTAGCTTTTTTTGTGGATCAGTTAACGTTTGATATGCCTTTGATATTTTATGAAATATTTTTGTAGCTATAGTGTTTAAAAACGAGTTATATCTGGTAGCTCACACAAATCAGAATCAAATCAGAATAAAAAAAATGCTTTCTCTAACCTTCCTCCGTATTACCCCGGTTTTTGTCAGGATGATGTTTTATAGCTTGGCGACGATAAGCTTTATCGATCTCTTCCTTTGTACTGTTGTAACTGACGCCTAAAAGTTCATAAAAATCTATAAATTGGTCTTCAGAATTCATTATTGATTAAGTAGAAAGGAGATACACTTAAAAACCTTTTTACTTTTATTGGCGCTGTCTTTTAAATCGCGGACACAAAATCACGGGTATTACTGTAATACAAACCCCAAACAAGGAAATTAATACTGCGTCGAAGTAGAGCTACATAGAAATATCATAAATTGCTCAAGCAGTTCTGTTAGCTTTCATACTAAAGCAAATTGAACTGGTTTTATGAACTTGCTCATATGTAAGCAAGTAATACATTCTTATTATATTAATAATATAGTTGGTATTATTGCCCTAGTCTATTTCCGACCCTAAATTCTGGTTGATTCCCAGAATTTTGGTTGCGAGACTAATCTTATCATTTGGGTTACTGCTTATTCGGGCCAAATTTCTTAAATTGAAATATCGATGTTCAATCAATTTTAATAATTAAGATTATAATAGATTTTTGAAAACTTGAACGAGGATTGTAATAAGTTGTTATATAACATTATATAACAAAACTTGCATTAATGGTAGAGTATCTACTTAAGAATATGGTCCAATAAATTATCAAAAATCCCCGAATACTCATAACGTCACGCAGTGATCCATTTAATACTCTAAAATCTGCTAATTCATTCGAAAAAAAACAAGGTTGGTTTACGTACTGCTATTTTTCGAATTAGTGCATATGTATCATGATTATCTTCACAATGGTAATACGTACGGGGTTCATAGGATCGTACTAATTCAAAGATAGTGATAATGAAAAAAAAATATGTAGGAATGTTTTATCAAAATTAAGAACGTCGAAAACAACGAGTAAATGCAATCATATTTGAAATTGTAAAGTTGGATATTCAATAACTATTAGCGAGCTAGCTAACCCAATTTATCGTTATATATATTGCCCAAAAGTGTCAAATCAAATTTTGTGTGTAAAAAACATGAAATGGGTGAAATCCCTTGTAATTTTTGTGTAAAATAGTTAATACAATTTGGTTAATTTACTAAAAATGGACAGATTCGTTACGTGGTCGCACTTTCTAAAAACAGGCTAATAATTTATATTTCATATGGTTTATATGTCGTACATATTCTTTGTAAAAAGAAACCCTATGTATTATATCTGATTTTTTTAGGAATGTAAATTATAAATTTAAAAAGCTCAAAATGTGATCTTTCCTTTGGCGGCACCCACATGGTAAATGGTAATTTACTTTTATAGACTTAATATTTTCATGTGATTGTAATCTCAGAAATTTGGTATCCTTACTGTCACTATGATTCGATTTACTCAACCAGTATCAATTTATGAACCACTTTGATGAAGTTTCATTATTGGTCTATACAACATGTGACAAAAAAGAATATGCACTCTATATGAAAGATGTTTTCCCGAGAATTTACCACGTCTTCTAAAGTTTAAACCATTTTTATTCGAATTTATTCGTAGAATATTCATGTACTTAAAAAGTTCACTCCATTTATCTTGGGCCACACACAAAATTAATTTCCCAACCCATTGAAGCTTTTTTTAAAAAAAATTGCCCAGTTAAAGTAAATATAAAATTAATTTTGTATGGTCTTATTTAACAAGCCGACAGTCTTTTAAAGTAATAACAATTACATATAATATGCAGCAGAAATTTCACTTCTAAGCATCTCAAGACTTTTGATTCGTTTTGTCCTTCTTGCAGAGTAGGCGTTTACATCTTTTGAATATAGAAGCAGTCTTAATTTTCATTTAAAATGTACATTCTTGTAAAGTATAAAGTACTCTAACTGCATAAATATAACTGTAGGTTATTAGCCAATCAGAAGGGCTTAGGACTTAATTTGGATTGGTTCAAAGGAAAGGTTTGGTCCATTCTTAGAATTAAATTATAATATAACATAAATCAAATGAGGAACAAAACAAAACATGCTTAAAGTTTGCTTAGTATAGTACGTACCTAAAGTAATTTTTAAGAATATTAATTTCAAATATTTTAATAAATTTTCATCAGAAGACAAAGATCAATTTCTCGCCGGCAACAAATCCAAGATGTGTTCATTAATTTCCAAGAATGCACACTTGTGTCACGCATATATTTGTTGCGCAAACTACAAAAGGTAGTGGTAGATAATGTCTCGATGTGTCTTGCTTTGAAACCAGAAAGCTATATATTTATTTTCTAAATGAAGTTCTCCATTTACCGGTTCCCAAACCTTTCCCTGGGACCAGTTTTGAATATTTTCTTACATATATAAAAGCAGTTTTTTTTTAAATCTTTTCACTTTTAGTGGAAAGGTGTAAAACTCTTTCATATTTAAATTTTGGTAATAACATTTAACGTTAAAGCAATATTTTTTTAAAAACCCAAAAAAAAATAAAATGTCAAACTACTCAAGGAGAAAACCTGTTCCTGATCAAGACAATGGGGATTCTTCCTTTCCCTTTAAAAATAATAAACCCACTGCCGATTTGAGTTTCATGAATCAACCTCCGAGGATGCCTGCAAAATCTCCTTTAAGAAATTCTGGCACTGTGGTTCCAACTAGTGGTGCAACTCAGACCACAATAATTCAACCTGTTATGAGTACAATGTCAATAACTAGCACTGTGTCGTCTACAACTCCAACTGTTCGTACACGTCCTTCAGTGGATACCACCTCGATCGATCGCGATTTACTATCTCCCGAAAAAAAAGACTATGAAGAAAGCATTAGATCTCTACAATCAAGGAGACGTGGTTCTGACCATAGTTATAAACCAATATCTCCAATATCTGGTGTTTATCCTGATAGCGCGCATACTACTTCTCCACCACTTTCTCCAAAAATTAAACCACCGTCTTTAAATATTGCTAGTGATTTACTTACTTCGTCTGAAGCTATGCTTGCTTCTGCTACTTCTCCAAAGTTTCCACCTGGAACTTCTTTATTGGATACTACCGATGAAATGTTGATTCAATTACTAGTTTCTCAAGCTATTATTGACGCGAAAGATTTTGATATTTTAAGTTTAGAAGAAGTTGAAGAATTAAAAAAGGTTTGTAAAGATAATTTATTCTCAATTAGAAATTTAAATTCGATTTTAATATATTTGAATTTTAAACTTGTATATGTGATGTATCTTAATAAAGCATATTATGGTCTTGTTTTTTCAATGGATGAGAAATTCAAAAAATTTCTTATTTGATCCTAAAAAATTTAAAATTCCGCAAGACTATAAATTTTTTTTTTTTTTTTTTTTTACCAGTATTATAATTTCTTTTTTTTTTTTTTAAAAAAAAAAAATTTGATTATAGGACCATTCATTGTTGACAACGCGTATTACAGCTTTAACTTCCAAACTCTCCCTTGAATCAAAAATTCGAGAAGCTGCTAGCTCACTTGCTCGACTTCATGCTTCTAACAGAAGATTATCACGTCAGGCAACGGATCATCTTTCTGCTGCTAATCGTAAAGTTGACCAAGTTGCTACAGAACTTTGGAAGTTAACTCAACGTGCTGGGGAAGTGCAAAGAAGATTATTACAACATATGGCTGGAATTCTTAGTACTGGTATTTATAAATTAGAAGAAAAATATACTCAAAAATTTCAAACAAATTCTACTCAACTTCAAGAAGGTGGTGATGGAATTGATAACTTATATAATGAAATAATGGGTATAAATTCTAATGGTTCAGATCCTGTATTAGCTGAAAAAGTGTCTAGTTTAGAATCATCACTTCATAATGCTCATCAAACACTTGCGGAAGCTAGAATGGCTATTAAACGTAAAGACAAAGAAATTGAGGAATTAAAAGCTAAAATCGATGATAGTGCAACTGAAACTAGAGAAAGAACAATTGCTGAATTAAGGACTGAATTAGAAGAGGTTGGAAGTCGATTGGATATCTTGTTGAGAAAACATAAAGCTAATAATGGTAAAAATAATACTTCTGATAATGAATATTCTGATGAATCTGATTCAGGTGCTTCCACTTTTTATCGTCTCTCTACTATGACTACTGCTACGCAGCACCTTCAAAAAGAACAATATAAGAATATATCTGAGAATTTAAGTGCTTTAGAAAAAGCTTTAGAAGACTATGCATTTCGGGTATATAAATTTGAGCAAGATTTAAATTCGGCTAAAAATAGCACTGATTATGAAAATCCTCAAGGTCAATTGCAAGAAGCATTAGATAATTTGAAACGCGCCGAAGAAGAAGTTGAGATAGAACGAAAAAAAGTTAAAAATATGGAAAATGAAATGTTTGAATTACAGGCAAAAGCAGAGCATGTTCAGGACCTTGAAGATCAAATTAAGGAGATGGAACGAAAAAATCGTGTCAAAGGATTCGATGAAACGAGTAATGATACGAGTGTTGAATTGAAATTAAGAAAGATGGAAAGGGAATATGATGAAATAATGGAAGCTCTAAAAAAATCATTTTCAAATCTACCATCTGATAGATCCGAAAATAATAAAACAAGAGTTTCAAAAGAATCTATAATTTCACGTATTCAAAGAGTTGGTGATGAGAATAAAAGACTAATGGATCAAATTTCACACTTGCAATCACGAATACATGATCAAACCATGAAATTAAAAGATCATGATAATTTAAAACAGGATCTTGAAGTTACTCGAATTGAACTTGAAAATTCAAAAACCAGAATAATAGAACTTGAAGATAGAGCTCAAAACGCAATATCTCGAGTTGCTTCTACAAATGAAAAGCAATCTGACTTACGTATTGAGTTGGAAGAGTTACGTGAACGACTAAATACAAATCAGGAGAAGGTACGAAAATATGAAGCTATTCTCAAACGTCAGTCCGTTATTCAGGTTATTGATAATGGTACATCAATTAAAGAAGAATTTCAACAACAATTGGCTACACAAGAACAAGAATATGAAGCACAGATTAAGGAACGAGATGCTTTAATTTCAAAAATTCGATCTGATTTATCACATAATATTACCGAAAAGGAAAATTTTGCACAAATTGTAAAAGATTTGGAAGATATGCTAAAATCTAAATCTAGAACATTGGACCAAAGAGAAGTGACAATAAGTCGACTAGAAAGTGACATCGTTCGATTTAAGTCAGAACTTGCAGAGTTAAAAGCTGCTACTGATGGTATGAATCTCAGTAGAATTAGTTATGATGGAAGTAGTGGCCGCATTTCATCCCAGATTGATGAAAGACAAGATGAATTGAGTCAATTACGATCAATTAAAATAAAACTTGAGCAGCAAGTAAGGAAACTTAAAGAAGATTTAGTTACTACACAGAAGAAGTTTTCAGAGCGTGAAGAAGCATTAGAAAAAAGTTCGGAAAAAATGCAAAATGAATTGGATGGTATTTTACGTGAATTTGATCGACTGACACGTAATTTCATTGATTTTGATACCGAAAGACAAAAACTTCAAAATAATATTGATCAACTACAATCCAAATGCGAGGCTTTGGAAAATGAATTAGCCGACGAAAAGATCAAGCGTTTAGGAATGGATGGAAATGAACCACCAACGACGATAACTTTGCGAAAAGAATTTAGAAAAATGATGGCAGATTCACGAGAAGAACATATAAAATTATTACGACGAGAAACGGAAGAAAAGAAAAAATTGGAGAACACAGTAAGGAATCTCAAAAGGGAAAAAGAAGCTGTAAGATGGGAAAAGATTAACAAAGGAACACAAACAAGATTTACTGTTAGCGTTGGGTCTGGTTAATTAGAAATGTTTATATTAATTAAACTAACATTGAAAAATTTGTATTTATTTATTTTTTGACGATTTATAAAATAAAATATTTTAATTTAATATGTACCGACAAAAAAATAATATAATAAACTTCCTATGTATAATCTACACAATCAGCTAAGAAGTCACCTACCATCAATGAAAAATTGAAGTTTGAAATTATATGCTTTTCGTGCGTGCATTAGTTTTAATTATATGTGCACAATTACTATCAATAAAATTTAAGAAAGGACTTCCCACATTTAAAATTTTATTTTATATGTAAAATTAATTTAATGTAAGTAATGAATATAAGGCAATATAGAATTGATTTTTTTTGTTCCCGTAATAAAATTTTTTCGAAAAAAAAATTGGACAGTAAATAAATATAAAAAAAATTTTTTTAATCTAGTCTATGAAAATAATACACGTTTTTTTTTACACTGCTTACCACTTACCATAAATTCTATTGATTAAATTGATAAAATCAATTACAAGAAAATATATTTCAATAGTGGCTCAGACCCCCACCGCTTAGACCCACATCCACACGGATAGTATGGATATTAGGAAAAATGGTGAGATCTTAAAAAAGTGTTATCAAATTCTTTTTAAAGTCACTTTGAACTTCAAAGAATCAAACCTTTTACCATCGTTCATCATTGCCACATATTTAATCCTCGAAGAGGAATTTTTTTTGGCTCTAATCATTAGTTTCCTGATTTCTATTAACACAAAAGAAAACTCAAATTTGGCTAAGTTTCTTCATTTCTACTTGGAAAATCTGTAATATTTTCCAAAAAGATCAGAATTCCTCTGAAGAACTTGTAATTTAATGAGCCTATTATAAATATTTGATCCAATATTCTTATTGGACGTTTACACGGTGTAACGCAACTATACAATTTTTCTGTAATCACGTGAATATAAATATACTATTACGGATGTAGGATTTTTTTTAATGATTATAAAACGACAGGGTGAAACCCGCGTTGTGAATTAATAAAATCCGCTACGCAGATCACACGAGGGTGAAACCCGCTTTTGCATAACTAAACGCGGATTTCACCTTAACGTGATCTACGTAGCGGGTTTTATTAATTTACAGCGCGTGTTTCATCCTCTCCTATTATAAATAGTTTTTAGTTATCAATATCGACGCGTATTTTTTTAAAAAAAATGTACAAAATTCAATATAAGCCAGTTTCTTAACGTTAATTCAAATAATATATATATTTTATGTTCGTAACAATGTTCGTAACAATCTTCAATTAACAAACCTAATAAAAATTAGTTAATATCTTTTAAAAGAGATGGAACGACAGCTATCACTATTTAATAAAATTATTAAGTAAATTTCAAGTGCAATATTTTTCTTGAAGATTTTGAAAATGAACCAAATTAATAAAAGATACAATAGTGAAAATGATGATTACATAAAATAAAATATTTGGTGAAGTTTCAGATGTTACTTTTGAGAATATGACGTTTTGGTAACTTCTATCAAAGTAACATTAATTTTTCGTAAATATATTAAGTTCAGTAATATTAGGCCATATAAACCAGTGTTGTCACGTCTACTATGTCCAAGATTTTTTTTTGACCATGTCCAACGTCCAAACGTCCAAGAATGTCCACAGCATATACAAGCTTTAAAAATTAATATATTAATTTAAAAAATATATGATTATTATTTTTTATAGTGCTGAATATTTTTATTTAGAAAGTTAAAATAGGTTAACCTAATAAAATTTTGAGCAAATTTAATTTATTTATTTGTCCAAAAATGTCCAAAAGTGTTCAAACTCATGTCCACAACTGTCCCGTGACAACACTGATATAAACTTAACAAATCGTTTTTTATAACATAAAATTTTCAAAAGTGACTCGGCAACCCAGTTTTTATTTTTTTTATACATCTGTTTGTGTAACTCTGCGTACATCAACTCGGTTTAGCCAATAAAATTGCAAGAACTTGCATCTCTTGAATGTGTGCCAGGTTGATGGCACAGTAAGCCTAAGCCATGATGACATCTTTAATGTAATCAATTAATTGATCATGTGACTTTTAATTACTATTATTAACTTTTTTCATATTAATTTATAATATTATCTTATTGGATTTTTTCATCTTGCTGTTAACAAAATTTCAAAATAGTATAAATGTGTTTTAAATATATTTAATAATAATATTTTGAGTGTAATAATAAATTGGCATTAGTAGGATGATGATCCTAGTGTAGTAGTTGGATTGTCATTCTCCAAATGGCAGATCTAAGGTTCAAATCCCATTTATACAAAATTTGAAAATTATATTTGCATTACAGTAACTGTTATTTGTCGATCAGTTGGTCTTATGTGGTTGTAACTCAGATATACTAAATTAGATTTTATCAACATTAAAAGTTCAAGCCATCTATGTAAAGTATAATGTTATATATATATAGAGGAATGTATAATTGGTATTACATAAGACTTTGGTGCAAACCTATGATAAGATCATTAAGTGTAAAAGATTAAGGAACTAAGATAATAGAAACTCATTTGGAAATTCTCAAATAAAGAAATAGTATGAACTTTTGACAATAATATTGAACTAGTTAAAACTTATAAAACAATTTCATAGGAACTGAAGATTAAACTAAACATCAAATATGTATAGAGAAGTATATAACCAACTAGGCTATCAAATTAATTGAAAAAAAATAATATAAAAGTATACTATACTAGATTATTTGGATTGGTAGTCTGAAAGAAACTGCTGGTTCTGAGTTGTAACTAGTAGAAGATGATGATGAAAATATCAGAAAAATAGATACTAGGATTTTAGTGAACTTTATAAGAGTAGAAATAGTATAATATAGTAGTTAAACAGATAACTTCTATAACTGCAAATGTTAGATAATTATAGCATGTTGCATAAAACTAGTTCTATATATGTAGAATATAAAAACTCTAATAAGTTTTCTGTCAAGAATAAAGTAGTCCTAAGGGTAATGATCAGTATCAAAAACTTAAATGGGTATAGTTTTGAGATGTTCTTGTAATACAAGAATGATTGTATATGTAGAAAGTTTAAATAGATAAGACCTCTAGTTGGCTTACAAGTATAATAACTAATGTAAAACTTATATAGTAATATGTAAGCAGATTACTTAAATTAGGCACCAAAAGTGTACATATGACTAGTTGTAATCTCCAATATATAGATAACCCTTAGAGGCTTGTCATGTCTTATAATATTTGAATAAAAATATTGCATTCCTAAGACAGAGACTTTAATTATAAAAAAATTAAAATAAAAAATAAATTGGCATTAATATATATATATATTTAGTATTGTTAAAAAAAAATTTAAATATGACATATATTTAAATTTTTGTGTTTTTTTTAGCAATACTTAATTAATATAAAATTATTTTAACAAATCAAATTTTTTTTAATGATAAATAGTTATTTAATGAACTAGTTTTCTTATGAATATATAAATTTTTTTTGGTATTAAGATAATTTTTTTGATTTTTTAACTTTTATTAATCACTTATTGGTATTGTGGTTTAATGAACTACTATAAAAAAGTATACAATTAGTTATATATATAACTTTTCTATATTAACTATTTAAGGAGTTTGCCTAAAGTTTTTTACTAATTGTTATATCTAACATTCCTGCTTTGATATTCTATTTTAAACTCTCTAAATCTGTAATCTGTATTAATTTACTACATTAGCAGAATAAATATGTGAAATATTGCGAAAGTTTTTGCATACTAAAAATCTTTCAAAATAACTGCGATTAACATGAAATTATTTTGAAATAAAATAATTTTGCAATATTGCGAAAGAAACGAAATAATTTCGAAAGAATTTCAGCTAATTTACAAAATTTTAAAAAATAATAAAACTAAAAAAAATGAAAAAATAATT